CTGGTAACACTGAAGGAGAAAGTCTCTGTTGGGAGCTAAAAGGTCTGTAACACCTCTCTAAAGCTGGCTGACCTCCCTTTTTCACTGAGGGCACATCTCAAGCCTTGGCAGGCCAATTTCCTGCTAGAATTTAATAACCTTGGTTTGTTTCCCTTGTGCTTATTTTTGCTCTTACCTTCTATTTATGGCAAGTGATACTGGTTTCCCATTTAAAGTAGTGATATAACAATTCTTCAAAAAACGTGTTTGGGGCAGAGGGGAGGAGTGGGTCTTGGAAAATACTAAGTAATAATGACTGATGTCTGCCCTGGTTCAAGGTGGGGAGAAGGGAAGGGAGAGAGGTGCTGCCCAAGGGCACCCAGGACGCCCCCAGCAGGGCTCTCTCTACGGTGCTCCCTCAGACCTGCATGTCGCACAGACCTCCACTCAGGAGCGCTTAGGCCAAGGTGACCCCGCGGCCCCTCCTGACCGCACGTGCGCGGCCCATGTGTCATCCTGCGGGGTCCTGCAGGCCCGGAGACCTCGGGATGGAGGCAGAGGCTCGGGCGGGCAGAATGGGTGCCCGGGAGGGCCCCTGGGGATTTCGGCGAAGGAGGAGGGCGCGGGAGCCTTGCGAGCGGGCTGCAGCCAGACCAGGCGAGAGGGGCCAGGTTCCCTCGCGGGTCACCTGCGGCCGGCGCGGTGCGCGTGTGAGTGCGTGCACAGACGTCAGCCTCCGAGGCCCGCGCCGCCTTCCGCTCCCCGCGCGCTCCCCGCACGCTCTCCGCGCCCCCGGCCGCCCCCACCAGAGCCCTGGCCCCACGAGCCCGGGCACGCGGAGCGGCAGACTGAGGTGCCAAGGCGGCCGCGGGCGGGGCTATGGGGCGGGGCCAGGCAGCGGGGCCCGTCGTCATTGGCCGAGCGCAGTACCGGGGGCGGGGCGCTGGGCGAAGGCGGGTGAGCGGGCTAGGGGAGGCAGAGGCGGGCGCCGGGTGGCGGGACAGGCTGCTTGCAGGCTGCGGAGGGGGCGAGTGCGAGCCGCGCGACGGGTCCACGGAGAACCGCTCGCAGGGGCGGCGGAAGGCTCCCAGGCCTGAGCTGGGCTTCTGCCGCTGGGACCGCCGTCAGGAGCCTGGTCTCCGATCACTTTTCGGAGGGACCACTGACCTTGCCCCGCGGGAGGAAGAGGGGCGTTCGCCTCCAGGAGAGGGAAGGAGGGAAGAGCCAGGGCCCCGCAGAAAGTTCACCTCCTCTGGGGGCCAGAGGGGGTGTAGTGGTAGGAGGAGCCTGTGTAAGGCTAACTTGGAGCTGCGAAACCTTAGGGCGGTGTTTAAGGCCCCCTCCCACACGCGCGCGGAGCCGAGCGCCCAGCTCCTCCTTCAGCTGCTGGCGTCGCCTTGCAGGGAGAAAGGAGCCGTCCCTCGGCGCCGGGGGAGCTGCACAGCTGCGGGCAGAGGAGGAGGCCGCGGCCGAGCCGGGCAGGCACCCCCCTACCCGAGCGATCCCCTTTGGGGCGGGCGGAGCAGGTGGCATAGGCGGTCGGATAGGTTCTCCCACCCGGGACACGCACATACGCACGCACCTACAGTCACCTCCAAAGGACCCTCCAGGAGCCTCTAAGGACCCGGAGTTGCTCCTTTTGCCCTCTCCGCCAAACCCGGAGCCCCAGGCAGGGACCCCGGGGTCGGACGTCCCCACGCCTCCGGGCACCTGGCTCAGCAGGAGTCCCCCGGGGCCGGGCAGGGCAGGGCCGGCGGCAGCGAGCCGGAGCCCGCCCAGCGCCCGGGCCCCGCCGAACCCTCGGAACCCACTCATGGGGCACCGGATCCCCGTGTCCCCTCGCCCGGCCGCGCCCAGCCCGGCGCCCCGAGCCGCGCAGAGGAGGAGCCCGGCGGAGTGACCCGGGAGCCGCCAAAGACTCTGGAAGGCTCGGCGGCCGGAGAGCAAGGCGGTTCCCCGCACCTCCAGGCGCTTGCAGGCATCCCTCCGAGCCGCGCCAGAGGCCCGGCCCGCCATTCCCAGGTAGGAGGGAGACACCCCAACAGAACTGGGGAAGCGGGGAAGCCGGGAAGAAAGGTTTGAAGCTTGTCAGCGGAAGGCTAGGTGAAGCTTTACAGGACTAGGGAAAGTTAAACTGATTGAGCGCCTATTATGATCATACGGCAACTTCACTTATCTAGAGAAAATGAAATTAGTTGAGCACCTACTATGTGTCAGGCTGGGTGCTTATTCCAGGAAAGAAAGACTTCCTGCGTTTCTCCTATGTGCCAGATTTGGTGCTAGAAGCCTTCCATTTAAGAGATCTGGAGTAACAGCCGGTTTGAATATAAGGAAACAGAGGCTCAGAGAGGAAGAGGCACTTCCCTACCCCAAACACAGCCCCTCCCCTTCCTAAGCCAGCTGCAGCCTGCAAACCTGGCTGAGGGTGGGGCTGGGATGGGGCCAGTTGGTGGTGGCCTTGGTGAGGACCTCCTCTGAGGAGGGAAGATTAAGGAACGCCTTCCCTGTTCAGAGTTCCATGAGCTTTGGGGGGAGTTGGTGCAAGGAGTGAGTTTCCTGGGTGATCCGCTTCCCAAGAAGGGTTTCCTGTGATCAGCTGGCCAGAAGGCTCCCAGGTACCTCTGCGGGGTGCTCTCTCCTCCCCTTGCCCCTGGCCCTGGGAGGATGATGAAGGGTGTTGTCCAGGACCTCATGGGAGGTGGGAGGCCGGGCTGGGAACGGGCAGCCAGCGCAGAAGCCCGTATTCAGGGCTTCCCCTGGCATCAGAGAGACAAGATGGGGTCCCCCAAGGCATCTGCCTCCAGTCCCTCCCCACCTGACTGCTCCAGGCAGCCCCTTGACTGCCAAGAGGAAAGTGCCACAAAGAAAGGAACCTGCTTGCTGGGTGCTAGGAGCTGTGTGGGCCTCTTGGCTTCTCACTGAGCTCTGAGGGCCACTGTGGGTTTGTTTCTACCATTTGAGAGATGACCAGCCCCGCTAGGCCCAGTCATTCGCCCAGGGTGGCTGGGCTGGTGAGAGGCAGAGCTGGTCTGCCTGCTTTCTATCACCCTGAGCTGGGTCAAGGATGGTGAGATTGGCTTTGCAAAGCCCCCAGGACTCCCCTCAGTGTGGGCATGGAGGCCAGTGAATGCATGTGTGTCCAGAGAGGCTGGGATGCGTGCTAATGGAGGAGGCTTGGGGTGTGTGGGAGGGAGGCAGGGAGGGCTCAGGATACCACAAGGAGGAGGGTGCGGCCAGACTCTTATACTGCTGTTCCTGCCCCTGTGACCCCTCCATCTTCCAGGCAGGCCCTGGGAGAAGGGCTTGAGGAAGAAGAATGGGGTGAACGCACAGATGCATTTGCTGGGAGCTGGCTGGACAAGGTCTGGGGGAGTCCTGGGCAGGACTCCCCAGCTGTCTGCAGCAAGAGAGAGAGGGAATTAGAATAGGCTTCTGGGGTCATTCCCCCCGCCTGACCCCAGCTGAGGCTTCAGTGAGTCAGACTTTGTTTTGAAAAAGATTGATTTTGTCCGGGGGGTGGGTTTTTATAGAGGTAAGAGCCCCAGTTTTGGAGCCAACAGCCTGATTCTAATCCTGGCCTGGCCAGTCATCTGTGTGAACTGGGGCAAGTGACTCAGGCTCTGCGACCTCCAGTGTCTGCATTGGTCTAGTGGGTTGATGGTGGTCCCCTCTCCATGGGAGTGTTGTGTAGTCATTGAAATAAGGCACGCAAAGCACCCAGCATGATGGAGGCCTGCCCAGCTGTGCTGACCATTCTCCCAGCGTGGCCCCACCATCTCTGCTCCAGGCCCTTCTGCCTCCCTGGGATGAGTCACAGAACTTGCATTTGGGTACCTGTGCTGCTAGTCGCCCCCACTAACCACTTTCTGGGCCTCCGGGGGGAATCTACATTCTCAAAGGGCCCTTTGAACTCCTCACTGTAGGGTCAGCCTGGCTGAGGATGGAGAGAAGGGAGCAGGCAGCGGTGGAGGAGAGAAGCTGTGCCTACAGCGCTGCCCATAGTACCTCCTCTGGGGGAGGAGAAGGGAAGAAAGATGCGGGGGTGGGAGGTGCTGTCACCTGACGGCCAGGTGTCTGGGTGTTTCACACAGCCCCACGTGGCTGGGGCCATATGAAGACTCGCAGTCTTCTCTCAGAGAGGAAAGCCACAGATTTTTTATTTTTTTTTCTCCTTCTTTGCCCTCTCCTGACCCCAGGCCTCCTCTCTTTGACTTCCACAGGCCCTTTCAGTCGCCGATGTTAGCACGTCTATACCAGGAGCTCTGGGCTAGAGGCTGGGGCAGGGGTTACACTGTCCCTGGGGGCTACTGGCCTCCTTCCCTCTCTGTGTAGACAGAGGTGACCACCAGCAGATCCAAGCTCCCTGCAGAGGGACTTGCGGAGGGGGCTGTCCTGGTGTGGGACCTCTTTCCCCAGCAGCCCGCGTCCTTTCAAGGTGCACGCAGCCTGGCTCTCCCAGCCCAGGAGGAGACTGAAAAAATTCAGTGCTGTTGGCTTGCAGCCCTCTCTCCCCTGCTGCCCACCCAGGGATGTGCTCAGGGCACTGAGACCCTCCTCAGTGCAGCCCCCGGGCCAGCTATACAGGGTGCGGGTGGAGGGCGAAGGTCCCAGAAGGAGGCTTTGAATGAGCTCCAAAGGTAGAGCCATTTGCTTCATTCATTCACAGATCATTTACTGAGCACCTGCTGTGTACATGGCACTGAAATCCTGTGGGATGAATTTGAAGTCGGCTTCAGGCATGAATTGCACGGGGGATGTAGAGGTCGTAGGCTTGGAGTCACCATCCTGGCTTCCTAATTAACTAAATGGGCCAGTCATGTAGACTTTTAAGCATCAGGTCCTTATTTGTGAAACAGGGAAGGGAATACGTACTTCACAGTGAGGTGGTGAGGATGCTCCATGGCAGGGGGTAGACCGCCTGGGGTCGAATCCCTCCTTGGCTGGTTACTGGCTGTGTAACCATGCGCAAGGTACTAAACTTCTCTGTGTTTCAGTTTCCTCTTCTGTAAATTGGGGTAACCATCCACCTTCTGGGGTTCCTGAGGGATGAAGCAGGTTAGTACACGTTCAGCACTTGCAGCGCTCTGCATATATTAACTGCAAAATAAACGTCAGCTGCTATTATCGTTCTATACTTAGCACAGTGCTTGGCACACTGCAGGGCTTGGTTACTGGTGGTTGTTGTCATGGCTCCAGGCCTGGGTCAGCGGTGGGCTGAGCCGGCTTATCGTGTGCGGCCCTTTGCAATTCATTCATTGAGATCATCTTGGTAGCTTGGCATCGGCCATGGTGGGAGTATTCATGGAAATTGACAAATGCTACCCATCAGAGCTTTTATAAAGGTCTTTTTGAGAGCCGCTTTACTGCACGGCGGTTCTCAGTCAGGCAAGGAGAACTCCCTGAACAGGTCGTGTGCCAGAAAGCTCACACACAAGAGGTGTCTCCACCTGAAGTCTCTTAGCATCATGGCAGATGTAGACATTTATGATGTTGGAGAGTGCCAGGGGGTAAATGAATGAGGCTCTCCAGGCTACTGACCTGGGGCATCACGGGGTGGGGACCAGTCATAGTTAGCACCACAGCCCTTTGTGCAGATTGAGAAAAGGTGCCTTCTCTGAGCAGATGAACTCCAACTAAGACGGCCTCCCACTTTCCCACCCAGCCGGGGGCCTTGTGCAGCGCCCCACCTGCACCACCCTGTACGGCAGCCTGCTGAGGGCAGAGGAGATCTGTATTTCAGCAGGCCTGCACCCATTTGTAGCTCATCTTCTCTAGATGGGTGGGTGGCTTCCTGCTGGGTTTGGCAGGAGGCAGAGAAGCCTTCAGAGAGGAGGTGGCATTTGAGCCAGACTCTGCTGAAGGGAAGAGGGTGCTCTTGGGGAGGGGCTGAGGGCTGGAGGCAGGTACCAGCAGAGCTCAAGCTCACTAGGGGTTCCGGGGGGGATGCTGGCAGCTGCTGAGATAGGAAACGAGGGTGGCTGGACTGTGAATGGCCTTTGGGTGGGCCTGATGGAGCCCCTGGAGGTTACTTATCTTTAATTGGGGTTTGGGGCTTGGATCCATTTCGGCCTCTCCCACAAGCCCAAGAGGCTCCTGTAGAAAGTTCTGATGAGAAAAGTGACTCCAGGGGAAGTTAACCTCCTTACCCAAGAGCAGTAGCAAGTTAGTGGTACAGCGAGGAGTCAAGCCCCCAGCAGTCCCGTGCTGCATAAATAAACAAACAAACAAACAAATAAATAAGGGGTGAATGAACGCAAGGGTGAGTGAATGGGTGGATGAATGAAGGAGGAAAGAAAGAAACGAGACGGATGAGCAGGCAGAACTCCAAGGCCTTTAGAAAGACCCCAGTCCAGTGTTCCCACTGTACAGACAGAAAACTGAGACCAGACAGGTGGCCAGCAGGGGAGGCCAAGGCTTCCAGGAAGGGCTACGAGGCCGGGCCTCGGGCCTCCTGATGCCGGCTCCCGGCTCTCTGCCACAGCCCCGAGCCATGATGAAGACCTTGTCCAGCGGGAACTGCACACTCAGTGTGCCCGCCAAGAACTCGTACCGCATGGTGGTGCTGGGCGCCTCGCGGGTGGGCAAGAGCTCCATCGTCTCTCGTTTCCTCAACGGCCGCTTCGAGGACCAGTACACGCCCACCATCGAGGACTTCCACCGGAAGGTCTACAACATTCGCGGCGACATGTACCAGCTGGACATCCTGGACACGTCTGGCAACCACCCCTTCCCTGCCATGCGCAGGCTCTCCATCCTCACAGGTGGGTGCCAGGGGTGGGCACAGGTGCTTGAGTATGTGAGCGTGTGTGCTAGGTACTTTACAGTTTGCAAGGCACTTGCCTATCTGAGATGAAGCTCACGACGCGCTCCCTTAGCACTGTGGGGGTCAGAGAGGTGTTGCTGCTTCCCGAGCAAAGGATGGAGCCAGGTCCCCAGTTCCATTCTGTCTGACTCTGGATCGATTGCTCATGGCTGCTGGCGCCGCCTTCCAGATCAGGAAGTGACAGACTCTGCACTGGGGCTTTACCTCCCCAGGGAACAGAGGGGCTGCTGCCTTCCTTCTGTGGGGGTGACCCAGCAGAGCTCCAGGGCCCGGGGTCAGTCTGTCGGGCTCTGATCTATTAACACTGCAGGGCTTTTCCACCTCTCAGAGAGGCAGGGGCTGGACCCAGGCAGTGATCAGCCAGAGGGGCTGGTGGGGACCTGCGGATGCTGGGAACTCGGTAATAATCACAGTAACGGCCATGGCAATAGCTAACACTTACCAAGAGCTGTGTGCCTGGGCCTGTTTCTAGAGCTTGGCATGTATTTATTTAATCCTCACAACTAACCTAGGAGACAGGTATTTGCCTCCATTTTACAAGTGGAGACACTGAGGCCCAGAGAGGTTGAGTTACTCCAGGTGATAGATAGCACAGCTGGTAAATGACAGTCTGGCTCTCATGCTTTACCACTGGGCTATCCTGTAGCCTCTTGGCCCGGCTGGGAGTGGTGGGGAGGGAGGAGATTGTGGGGGACTAAGGGGCCAGGTAGAGATGTGAGACTGGGCCATGATTTTCATCACTCAAGCAGTTTTGTGTGGTAGCTAAGAGGACAGGTCCGGAAACTGGTCTGCCTGGGTCTGAATCCTGGTTCCACTGCTTCCTGGTTTTGTCCCTCTGAGCGAGTGACTTTATCTCTTTGTGCCTCAGTTTTCTCATCTGTAAGTTGGCATCACATTAGCACCCATTCCAAAGGTCTTTGTGAGAATATAAATGAGTTAATATAGGAAAAGTGCTTGGTGATTGGAAGGTAAGTGCTCAAGACTTATGGGTCTTAAACCTACATTTGCAGTATGCCTGCAATGGGCTATGCAGGCCCATTTCCTAAACCCTGCACCTGCCACTGCTGGGCGGCGATGAAGGGAAGGAATGAGCAAGTAACCCCCCAGCCATCACTAAAACAGCCCCGCAAATCGAGATACTTCTACACCAAGAAACCCTAGCCATGCCCACCCCTCTCCCCACGGCCCGGTCAAGACTCCTCCCTGAGTGCCCTGGATAGACAGCTTCCTCTTCCGGCTGTACTCACTGACCATCTGACCCAGATCACACTCAGACTGTCCCACCCCACATTTTGGAGAGGGAGTGTGTGGGCAGAAGGAGCCTGGGCTGACCTGGTTCCAGTCCTGGCTCTACCACTTGACGCCTTAGATGTGTGACCATAAGTCTGGATCTCAGTCTTCCCAGCTGCACAATGGACATAACCTGCTTCCTCCCAGGGTGGCTGCGAGAACTGCAGGAGATTGCGCGGGGGGCATTTCCAGGACTCGATGGAGATTGCAAGGATGTCTGCTCTCCTGGCCATGGGGAGGGGACTGGGTGCCCACCAACAGAAATAAGGCTAACGGAGGGAGAGAGTAGATGTGGAGAGGGACCACATGCGTATTTCCAAAGTTAATTTTTAATTACACAAATACACCCTCCTCTAAACATACAGATAAGGCTAAAAAGCCCCCTTGCCCCATGCCCCCAACCGCAGGCTCCTGCCCCCTCCCCCGAGGTAGCCACCCCATCAGTCTTCCAGGCCCCCCATGAACACTTTGACATTCACATTTGTGTCCCCATAACGGAGAGTATTTTCGTCTCATTTTTACGTGCACATGTTCCAAGCACATCTGCCTGCTGCCTGCTTTTTTCACTCACCAGGCTGTGCCTCGTTTTCCAACCTAGTGCTAGTACACAGCAAATTCTGAAAGCCATTAATTCTTTTTTTTTTTTTTTAAAGGAAGGATTCTTTTTTTTTTTTAATTTATTTATTTTTGACTGTGTTGGGTCTCCGTTTCTGTGCGAGGGTTTTCTCCAGTTGCGGCGGGCAGGGGCCACTCCTCATTGCGGTGCACGGGCCTCTCACTATCGCGGCCTCTCTTGTTGCAGAGCACAGGCTCCAGACGCGCAGGCTCAGTAGTTGTGGCTCACGGGCCCAGTTGCTCCGCGGCATGTGGGATCCTCCCAGACCAGGGCTCGAACCCGTGTCCCCTGTATTGGCAGGCAGACTCTCAACCACTGCGCCACCAGGGAAGCCCCTGAAAGCCATTAATTCTGCCGCCAGCTCTCCTTCCAGCTGCCAGCCAGGCGTCTCTGAAGCTTGGCATCACAGCCTTTCACCTGGATATGTCAAGGCTGGAGAGCCCTCAGGGGCCCGGGATTAGCCTTAACGGGATGGGTCTGGCAGCCTAAGCAGAAACGGTTGCCAAGCCAGCGCCGGCTTGCAAGTGTCTTTCTAAACTGCCCACCCCGTCCTCCATCCCGTCCCACCCCGTCCACACAACCAGCTTTATGAACACCCACTGTACACCGTGACGACATCTCCCTCTGCTCCAGAGAGCATCATTGGCTGGAACGTGGTCCTGAACGTGGCGTGTGCTCTTCTGAGGGGGACAAATGGCGTGCCCCGGGGGTCCAGAGGAAGGAGGCAGCAGTGCTCCCAGAAGCTGGTATCACTTGATTCTCCTCTCAAGAACTTGGGCCAGTCCCAGGCACCTTTGAGCCTCGGTTTCTTATAAAACAGGGCTCTTAACATCTCCCCACAGGTTCACAAGAGTTTAAGTCAAAGTGCAAAAGGCACTTTGAGTGTGAGACTGTGATCACTGTAGTGAGATGTGGAAATTGGGGTGGAGGCACCAGCCCTCTCTCAGCCTCCCCGCCTCCCCTGCCACCTCCCCATCATCCCTGTTTCAAAGACCTGCGCTGAGGGATGCAGCAAGTTGTAACAGGGGTAGCGTGGGCCTGGGCGGCTAGTGTTCACTTGTTCATCCATGATTTATTCAAGAATCAGAGGACACCTGTGTGCGCCAGCACCAGCCAGGTGAGGACAGAATCGGGTCCACATCTCGGCCTGGCCACACCTGAGCTGTGTGATCTTGGGCTGGTTGCTCACCCTTTCTGAGCCCCAGTTGGCTCACCTATCACATGAAAGTAATGAAATCTCCCTCACAGATGTTCCGTGAGGAGTCAAGGGGGAACCCATGCGACTCTCGCAGGTGCCTGTTCTCATTATACTTTTGAGACCCGAGATCACTGAGCGCATGTCACTCTCCATTCATTATCTCATCAAACCTTCAAAAGCATCCTGCATGGGACAGATGGGGAAACTGAGGTTTAGAGAGGTGGTATGACCTGCTGAAGGCCGTGTGGCCAGTGAGTGGAGGGGGCAAGAGGTAAACCTAGGCCTGCCTGATGCCAACACTCCGCGTTCCAACTATGCATCGGGGGCTATTCCAGGCCCTGGGGACGTGCGCTGAACAGCAAGACCCCTGCGCTTGTGGAAACTGTATTTCTTTTCTTTTTTTTTTTTGCGGTACGTGGGCCTCTCACTGCTGTGGCCTTTCCCGTTGCGGAGCACAGGCTCCGGACGCGCAGGCTCAGCGGCCATGGCTCACGGGCCCAGCCACTCCGTGGCATGTGGGATCTCCCAGGACCGGGGCACGAACCCGTGTCCCCTGCATCGGCAGGCGGACTCTCAACCACTGCGCCACCAGGGAAGCCCCTGTATTTCTTATTATTCTAACACAGTCTACACAACCTCACAAATCACTCACCCTGTCTCCAGCCCTGCCGGGAAATGTAGGGCTGATTCATTGTGTTTGAACCAGGCTGTGCCACGTATTAGCTCTGTGACAAGGGATTTAACCTTCTGGGCCTCAGTCTTCTGCTCTGGAAAATGGGGGGAATAATAGCAGTTCCCCGCCAGAGTCACTGTGAAGATCAAGTCAGGGAGCGGGGAGGGGCGAGGGGGTGTGGTGCGATCAGGAGGCGCCTGTGAACTCACCGCCTGGGGTTCCTCTCCCCACAGGTGACGTTTTCATCCTGGTGTTCAGTCTGGATAATCGGGAATCCTTCGACGAGGTCAAGCGCCTCCAGAAGCAGATCCTGGAGGTCAAGTCCTGCCTGAAGAACAAGACCAAGGAAGTGGCAGAGCTGCCCATGGTCATCTGCGGCAACAAGAACGACCACGGCGAGCTGTGCCGCCAGGTGCCCACCACCGAGGCCGAGCTGCTGGTGTCGGGCGACGGGAACTGTGCCTACTTCGAGGTGTCGGCCAAGAAGAACACCAATGTGGACGAGATGTTCTACGTGCTCTTCAGCATGGCCAAGCTGCCGCACGAGATGAGCCCCGCCCTGCACCGCAAGATCTCCGTGCAGTACGGGGACGCCTTCCACCCCAGGCCCTTCTGCATGCGCCGAGTCAAGGACATGGACGCCTACGGCATGGTCTCGCCCTTTGCCCGCCGCCCCAGCGTCAACAGTGACCTCAAATACATCAAGGCCAAGGTCCTCCGGGAGGGCCAGGCCCGCGAGCGGGACAAATGCACCATCCAGTGAGCAGGAGGGGCGCTGGGGTGGGGCTTGGGCGGTGCCTTACGGTGGTGGGGGGCGTGGCCCCGGGTGCCCGCTTCCCGCATCTCCCCCCATGAGACCCCAACAGCAGTCACGTTCTAAGACCTTTGGCGCCAGACTGGAGGACCCCAGCCTCCAGCCTCTGTGCAGTCTCCTGCCTTCAACCACTTCCCTCTGATTCCTCCTTTCCACCACTCGCTCTTGGTTTCAGCTTCTCCATGGGTTGGGAGGGGAATCCCTGCAGGACAAGAGGCAAGGTTGGGTGACATCTGAACTTATGCCAGGACCCAAGTCAGAGCTTGCTTGAGGGGCCAGAGGGGCCAGGACCCCTGCATCAGATGGAGACTCCTGGAACATCCCAGATGAAAATGATACCCAGAGTCAGCTGGAAGAGGGCTCCGCTGTCCTGGTGGAAGACCCAGCTTGGTTTAGGAGGCAGCTGGGAATCTCCTCCCACCCCATCCTGAAACGCTTACCCTCTGGCTCAGCTGGTTCTATCCCCTGCCCCCCAACTTGGCCCTCAGCTGCCCCCGACATTGAGCCAGGGGCGTCTGTGTGTTCGAAGGAGGCGTGGCTACGTCACCTGGCCCATGTCCATTTCTTGGACCGCCTTCCTCAGCCTCTTCTCCCAGGTTCCTCTCGTCAGCTGGTTGTGCTTTGCTGTTGCAGCTGTTACGTCGTGTTCCCAGTAGGAATGGAAATCGCTGTACTGTAAAAGCCTAGTGACCCCTCGTTGGCAAGGCCCCCCACCAGTTCCGATCCACTGCCTCCACTGGGGACACCTTCGTCCCCCATTCCAGATGGGGTTTCTGTGGCCTGTCTGCAGCTGGACGCTGCCCGCTACTGAGCATCACCGTTCACACTCACAGAGGCGGGGCAGGCCTGCGGGGGCAGCTTCTCCTCTCGCCTCCATCCCCCAGAGGGGGCGGCTGAGACTCACAGGGCAAAGTGACATGCCCCAGCTCTGCCTCCCGGCTAGTTCCGGACGCAGCTCCCCCTGGAACCAGGCTTTCCTCTACTGTGCTGGTTCCTCAAGCATTTATTGAGCGCCTGCTGGGTGCTGGGTCCACCCTGTGCTAGGAAACAAAGAGGGTGAGCAATGCACTTTACACCCCCGAGGCCAAGCCTCCCCGGCTCTGGCCACTTTCCCATCCCCCACCTGGCCGCTGCCCACCCCTGCTGCCCTACTGTCTCTGTACACATAGCTGTTGGCAGGCGTGGAAGAGCAGCTGGGAGCCAGAGCTGAGCCCGGGAGAGGCAGGTAGGAAGAGCTCCCAGTGGGCCTTTTCCTGGTGCCTGTGATTGGGTTGTGCTGGGTACCAGGCGTGGTGGGATTTGAACCCGTGGACCAAAGGCTCTTAAAAAATACATTTTATACTTTAAACCTCCTTGAACCTATTGAAGTTCAGGGCCACAAGGAACCTTAGTGATCATCTAGTGAATCTGAGGCCCAGAGAGGGTAAGTAACTTGCTCCAGGTCACACAGCAAGCCTACGAGTGGCAGAAGCAGGGTTAGGTCTGGCATTCAGCACGCACCATGGTGTGCCCCTCTCCTGATGCTGCCTCAGCCCCTGGGGCCTTCAGGGATTTGAGGTGTTGTCTCCCTGACCCTGTCCCTAAATCTGCCTTTGAGGGCTCCTGTAGATTCTGTGTACATTGTGCCCACATATATACGTGTACATACACATGAACACACAGACATAAACGTGCCCTGGCCTCAGCTCTGCACACCCCCACCCCACCCTGGCCCCTGCTGCTCAAGGCAGCCGCTCTGACCCTGCTTCTGTGCCCACACCTGGCCCCAGCTTGAACCCTCTAAGCAGACCGGGTACCTTGGCCAGGACAGGTGTGTGGCCTGGTCTCAGTCACACCTCTGCTTCCCCCTATCTCTGTGTACACTCTCAATTAAAGTGGGTTTGTTTCTAAGCCATGTCCTTGACCGTGTGTATTTTCTGTATTTCCAAGAAGAGGTGTGGCTCTTCCTCCAACCAAAGCTGACCTTTCCCTCCCCAAATTGCACCTGCCTGGTACCCTTTCCCTGTGTGTCAGCACTGAGTCAGCCTTCAAGGTTAAGTACGTGGAGGGTGGGGTGGGGGGGGAAATAAAACCCCACAATAAGGGGGAATCAAACCCCTGGCCCTCCTGGGCCCTCTGAGGGGTGTATGCTGAGTTGTTCATGTCCCTCTGGAGGAGTGGCCAGGTCAGACAGGAGAGGCCTCCCCGTGGACCATTAGCCCTTTGGGGTCACCATATGACCAAGTTCTGGGTGGCTTCCAGAACCACCCAGAGAACATTTGGCAATATCTAGAAACAGTTTTGATTGTCAAAACTGGGGAGGGGGGCGGCATGCTATTAGCACCTGGTGGGTAGAGACCAGGGATGGTGCTGAACACCTCACCATGAAGTGTTACCCCGCCCTGAATGTCGGCAATGGGCAGCCTCCTCGCTTGGACTGTCAACCCTTGAGATCAGGACACGGCCCATGTCTATGTATGGTTGATACAACTTACAACTTTCTGGATGGTAAACACTGGACAAGCACAGTGTGTCCTTGTGTGAAATGAGACCGGACATGGGAGGGGAATGGCAGGTGGAGGTGGGGGGAGAAGGTCTTGTCCCCATGCAACCCCGAACATGGCACCTTGGACCGAGGTTCTCCCTCGGCGGAGGGAAGGGAAGGGAATCAGCCACACGCCTGCTGCGTGACCGACACCCCTACTCTCGCTCCATCTTCGCATCTTCCAGCCCCGTAAGAAACATGCTCCTCGTATTCACCCCTTCTTGTGGTGGAGAATTAAGCTCAGAGAACTCAATTTCTTCTCCAAGAAGGCACAGCTGGTGAAGGGGCAGATCGGGGACTTGAAACCAGAGACCGTCTGGGCTCTGTGAGAGTGAGGAAAGGATTTTGCGTCTGGGAGATGGAGACAGGTCTGTGCTTTTGAGCAGTCAGCAAATACCACTGAGCAGGGAGGTTCAGAGAGAAGGCGGACAAGGTCTCTGCCTGCCAAGGGCTCACGGTCCAGAGGGAGAGACCCCTGTGCGGACATTCACAAAGCAGGGTGAGCCCAGCTATGGTGGAGGAAAACCAGGTGAGCCTGGGAGAGCTCCCGACCTCTGCCTAGCTGGGAGCCCAGCTTCCCACCCATCCTTTGCCCCTGCCAGACAGAGATGAGTCGCCCTGATGCTCTCCCAGTCCTGGTTTCTGTAAATGTGAGATGTGGAGGTGAACATTCCCTTCTGCATTGCAGGTCAGAACTGCGCCCTAAGAAGGGCTACACGGACAGGTAGCTGGGTACACCTTCCATGCAAGCCTTCCACGGTTCATCGGAGCCGGGGCACCTCTGCCATGCCCTCCCTCCGTGTGGGACTGTGAACAAGTCCTGTCTTCTCCCAGGCTTCAGTTTCTTCATCTCTAAGTGGGAGGTGGGGAGGACAGCTGGACCAGACAGCACACGAACAGCCCCTTACAGCCTTATGTTCTCTGCGAAAAGGAATTAATATTCCTACTACATAACCCACAACATTCTGATCGTTACTAAACAGAACACGTGTGCTCCAGCCCCGGCCCCAGCCCCACTCCTTGCATCCCACAGATTCACCCTGGAATGGGGTTAACAAGCAGAAATCTGGGGCAGAGGAGGAAGACGCCCCTGACAAATAGCCCTGGTACGGAGGGTGGAATAAGGTTGCAGGAAAATTCCCCTCATGGGGAGACCATTCAGAGATAAGCCCAGGACAGCCAGCTTAATTCCCAGCCTAGGAAGGGAGCGTTGGGAATCTGATTTCAGAGAATTCTGAGCTATGAACTCTAAGTACTTGTTCTGTTCCGCCTCCCTGAACCTGTCACTTATTCCAAAGAAAAACTTCAGCCTGCATCCAGGCTTGGTGGGGGCTGATGGGAGGCCAGTTGGGGCTCTGCTGGGCTCGGCCTGTTCCTGCAGCCTCTTGTTGCATCCTGGAGGCAAAGCTATGAGGAAGGATTATGAATCCCCATATGAGGGAACTGAGGCTCAGAGAGGTAAAGGCACATGCCCCAGATTGTACAGCTGGTAAGTGGCAGAGCTGAGCTAGAATTCACCACTGATTGCAAAGCACGTTTTCTCCCCAGAGCTTTCATAACTGAGCCAGCTAGGAGCTTCTCTCTGGAGGGAGAAGCCAGCAGTTTGGGGTGTGATGTCTGAACATGGTTCAGAGAACTTGGGCGAGTGTCATTCACAGGGAGTGAGATGCCCTGCCACTCATAGCCAAGGGCGCAGCCACTGTAGCCGGAGGAGAACTTGACTTCTCTCTCACGGAGAAGCCCAAGGTGAGTGTGCTAGGCCAGAGTATGGCTCTGTTCCACCTGATCATTCAGGCATCCAGGTCTCAGGCTCCTCTATCTCTAGGACCATGTCACATCTGCAAGGTCAAAGCCACTGCCACATTCAGGTTCAGCCAGAAAGTGAAGGGAAGAGAGTGCAGACACTGAACATCTGCTGTTTTCAGGACCCTGGACACATCCCTTCCGCTCACTTTCCACTGGCAAGACTCAGTCATGTGGCCAAACCTACCTATGAGAAGGGCTGGGAAACAGTTCCTTGCTAGGTGGCCCCGTACCCAGTGGTGACTCGTGGAAGAAGAGGAGGAGCGATTGGCTGGCCAGCTAACTGTCCCCACGAAGCCACCTTCAAGCAGCAGATCTGGACCTCAGGACTCGCATTCAACCCGACTTCCAACAAGCTCCACTCAGTAGACGTGATCAGAAAGCAGCTCTGACCTCCCACTGTTTCTTTCAAGTGGCTCTGGGTTTTGCTTTCCCCATCCCTCCACGAGAACTGGGACTGTCCCATGACTTTTCTCATCTATACCAGAGGCACCTCGGGTGGCAATATAGCCTCAGTTAAAAATCTCTGGCCATGTGATGACTGACATTTCTGTCTTCATTCAAAGGAAAGTCCTTCCCCCAGCTGAGTTCTGCTGTACGCAAAAAGCTAGAATTTGGGGAAGAGAAGGGTAGGCATGTCCTCCTCTTTTTTCACTCTCCATCTTCCCTTTTAGCTAATTCCAGTTTCTCCCTCCTCCGTTCTTGGGAGGTGGGTCAGGGAGGAGGCTGGGGGAGAGGAGGTCAGTGGGACAGGAACGTTCCTACTTGCGGGGACTATGGTATTGTGGTAAGACTGTGTCATGCCCACCAGGCTGCCACAGGATCTTTGCACTTGCAGTTATCTCCACCTGGAATGTGCTTCCTTTACAATCCCCACTGGCTCACTTGGTCTCTTCATTCATTATCTCTGCTCAGAGAAGCTTCTCCTGACTTCCTGCCCTAAGATCCCCTCCTAATCCATCACTGTTCACCCTCTTTTTCTGCTTCTTCTTTCCTGATAACATTGATCATCGCTTGACTCTTTATAATGCGTATGTTTATTGTACGTCTCTTCTGCTAGAGTGGGAACTACACAAGACTAATGCACAGGTCCTCCCAGAGTAACACAGTGCCTGGCACACAGTAGGTCTTCAATAGATATATCAGGAACCAATGGAGGAATGAAGAGAGAGGTCTGAACAGCTACACATTTGGAAGCCCACTCTGGCTTCAGGGAATGTGTTGGAGGGGCGTGAGAGGGGATGGTGAAGAGAGGGTGGATTCGAGGTGGTAGAACTGAAGACGTGGGCTCCCAAGCCAGCTGTGGGGTGTTGCATTGGGTGGAGAGCCGAAGGCGGGTCTCAGGATTGGCATTTGGGCAGCTGGATGGTAAGTGGCGCCAGTCTCCAAGGTGGGGACGCCATCAGGACAGGGTGCAGGTTGGAAGGCCATGAGCGCGGGCACAGGACGGATAGGATGGGTTGAGTTTGAGTCGTGGGGAGTTTGAGGCACCCAAAAGAACTTCAAGTGCAAGGGACCAGCAGGAACCTGGAGGGGAGGTTCTGAATCTTAGGAGAGAAGTCCGGCCTTGAGTGGTGGACCTGAGGGTCACGCCAGCCTTGGGAAAGTGTGGACTAGACAGACCAGGCAGTAAAAAGAGGACCCAGAGGAACACCAGGGTTTAGGAAAAGACAGAGAGTGGAGGAAGGCAGAGGGAGAGAGGAGAGGTAGGTGGAAAACCAGAGTGTGGGCCTTGGCAGCCGGGGACCAGGAAGGTTTGAAAAGGGATAGATGGGCGCCAGTGTCAAAGCTGCCACGAAGGGGCTGAAGGGCATCCACAAGACACTGGAAGAAGCCCAACTAAAGGACAGACGGCGTGTGAATGGAGGGGGTGGCGAGCCAATAGCGAGGGTACCTTTTTCTCTTTCTTTTAAATTTTTTCATAAGCATGGCTGGAAAGTGGAAGAGAAACTAGAAGGAGACAAGGGGTTCCAGAGGGACCATTGTTAGTATTATTACCATTTTTGAAGATGGAGAGGCTGGAACTTGATGAAATGCTCTTGAAAAAGATCCAGAAGAGAAGGAGGATGACAGCACAGAAGAGGAGGAAGTGTTGATTGCTGGAGAGGGGTCTCTGGAGACATGGGGAGGGCTGAGATCCAGGACACAGGTGGAGGCAGTGGCTTCAATCAAGAGAGGATGACCGCGGACGAGGGGGCAGGGAGGAGAGCCGAGCCCGCAATGGATGGAGTGAGCTGCCTGAAAGCCTTTTCTTGCTTTCCAGAGCGATCGGCATCCTGATGGGCTACCTGATGGGGATGGAGGCTGGCCCCCAAGAGAGAACACTCTCAGCTCTCTAACATTTTTATAAGAAATTAAACCTCAAGAAGAAAAGCTGGAATCAATTTTATCCAAAATGAGTAAGAAGCAGAGAGGATGGCTGCAGTCCAGGAGCGTGGGGCGTGGAATTCACAGAGACAGCTAAAATGAAAAAGCCCATTTGACAATGAATATTCACTCCACAAACACGGAGCTCCCTGTGTCCCCAGACCAGCCCTAGGAGCTGGGGGCAGATGAAGAAGGCTCTC